CCCCAAAACCCCAAAACCCCAAAACCCCAAAACCCCGGGTTATTGTGGGAGTGTTGAAGATGGAGGATAGGGGAGGTAGGAAGGGGTGGAGAGGGGAGAGTGGAGGGGGAGGAGGGGGAGGAAGGGGAGGAAGGGGTAGGCAGGGGGTTGTGGGATGTTTAGAGGTGGTAAAATGTCGGATGGTAGGGTTTAGCAATTTTTAGCATTGGGAGTTTGGAAATATTTGATCTTTATGTAGAGATGATTGCTAGGAATTCTTATTAAGCTTTAATAGGAGTTTCAGAGCAATTTTACGAAGTTTTATCACTTGGCTACATTGTGGTTTATCGTTTCTGAAACCTTCATCTCTACCATCCAAATTTTGTGGTTATCATGGAACTGTAAGAGCAGAAAACAATTAATAAAAATTAAGTGCACCCTCCTTTATTTAAGATGTTTTAGATTTTCTCTTTCTGCTTTCGATAGCTTTAAAGCCTTCACTATCACCTTATAAAAAGTCGAAGGGGAAATGAGGAATATTTCTACTACATTTCTTAGATATTTCAAGAAGTTTCACCCTTAAGGAGGTACTTCTGCGTGTCTAAAAATTCAGAAATACAAAATAGAGGTCCTAAACTTAGTTGGGGTAATTTCTTGGTCCTTCAGGACACCTCAATAGAGTTGTTCAGGTAATAATATTCACTCAGATCTCTTGTTTCCTATCTTACGAGATTTAGTTTTAACATTATCTAAGTATAAAAACTTCTTTTGGTCTATTTTTGTAAGAAAATTGCATTTTTGAGCATCTTTGAGTCTCTGGATGGCAATATTTTGCTATCCAAAATTAGCAGATTCTGGGAAATATCCAATTCAATATTTTTAGATAAAACTTAGGTGAAAATTCATCGAATCTGATGAAAGCTCTAGCTAAATACGCTATAATGAGCGAGGGACTTTTTGCTAATAATTTTTGATATTTTAGGATAGAGAGGATGCTTAGACACTGCGATGTTTTGAAGATCAGGCTTCTAACTTTGTTAAAACTTTTCAAACTACTAGATTTATAAATAAAACTTAAATTTGTAGCAAATATGGATACTAAATCGCTCAATTTTACTCGAATTGCAATAAGCCAGCTTGAGTAGTAGATCATATCAGTGCTTGTACACCCATTTAAGCATTGTTAAATAGCCAAGAGCTCTTCAGCCCTATTGCATCACTATTAATTGTCATCAAACTGCTTAACAACAATATTTTCCATTAGCTTCGATTCACTCAAAAAGTGTCTCTGGAAATTTCTGGATGGACGAAATATTCGAAACTTCGTACTGACATCTTCAGTTTTCTAAACTGTACTTGCGTACGGAGAAATAAGTTGTACGAAGCTGATGGCAGCTTATAGGCATCTAGGAAGCCAGACCTCTTCTTTGTAGGCTTAACATATGGTTACTCTTACCTACCTATTCTGTAAGAAAAATAAGTGAATTGGAAGGAGCTCAAGAATAGTAAACGAAAACTGATATTTCAATTTCTCATTTGTTTGAGGAACACAATCAGGTTTTTAATATCAAAATGGGCGTGTCTTTAGTACTAGCTGGTCGTTAAGAAGAAAAATACTTCAGAGGCATTTTAAATGTCTTGTTATAGCCAGATTTGAGACTCTCAAGAACTCCTAGCTTTGTTTCTAAGTAATTTGGTGATAGTAGCACGCAATAGTAAAAACTTGATATTTGACAATACATCGAAGTCCACTCGATATCTTCAAATTTTGCATTTGAAAAGCTTTGAATTAGCAAGAGGGCGATAATTCAACTATAAAATAGCTGAAATAACTAAAATGAATCTTCTAGTTTCCTCCATGCTTCGAGAACAAATTGACTCCACCAATAATATTCTTCTTAGAAATATTAAATCGTTCCAAATTCATGAAACCTATTGAAATCCTCTATGCCTACAAATCTTAGCCTAGGCATCCAACCAAAGCTTTCAGCTAGGCTTTTTTATTGTCAAGAGTCTTACTATCTTTGGCTTTAATAGTCCTGGTCTGAGGTGACCTCATTAACCAGATATTCATCAATAGGTTAAAGATTTTCTTCAACGAAAATGGAGGAAATCTGGTTTATAAAACTTTTCTTCTGTATCCCCAAATGCTATGGAAGACCAAGAATATATTTAGAAGATCATGGCTAGAAGCAGAAGCTCCTTGCTCTTAGATAGGAGCAGTAGCATAACCAGATCCGGTTTGCATATAATGGTCGAACTCTAATCATTCATTTGTGGGCAAGACTTTATCACGATTTCACCGATTTATACAAGCCAGAAGGGATAATGAGTACTGAACTCTGGAACCTAGCGGTATGGTACAAAGTCTCTGTGGTGACATAAATCTTAGTTTGCATCATAAAAGTGTTCACCAATTTACTTTCCCAATCGGAAGTCTTCTCAAATAATTCTAAAAAGAACAGTTCGAGTGAAATTTTTAAAAAGTCTTCTAGAGATTTTTGCGACATGCTCAGGAGCTAATTGCTTGATTAGAATTTCAATTCTTGTATAAAATTTATGAGCAATAAGTTACAGGGAGGATATCCCCGCTATAACTTTAATTTGAACGAAGTTTTCAAAGTCAAGTTAATGCGAAATAAAATAAGCATCACCAAACGCTGAAATCGGCGAGAATTGGCTTGCGAGCTTGAGAGAGTATGAAATTTTGTTCGAAATTGCAAGCTAACCGTTAAAAATCCTCCTTACATCTTCATTGCCAACCTAATTCACCATTTCATATGAATTTTCTGGGAATAGATCTTACTTGCCTAACTTAACCAAATTTTGGAAAGAAATGGAGCAAGAACATATCTGATAATAAAGCTCAGGAAATATCACTATAGGTTGGCACCCTAATGTACCTATTTAGCTCTTTTTACCATATTTGTCGTGATTATTATAGCTTTCATCAGACTAAAAGCTTCCATAAGTTTAAATATGGTTAAATATATCAAAATCTCTGCAAGACTCAAGATGTTAACCAAAATTTAAACAAGTTTGCAGCCAAGGCTGGTCTTGGCATCTTCAGCCTGTAAACCCATTGGCCATAGTTCATTTTCACTTTTGAATTAATTGGTGAAGTCTCTTGAAGAGTTCCAAAATAGGTATTCTTGCGAAGTATTTCTCAAATTTAGTAGATCCTAATAATCTGAAAATTTAGCAAATTTCTTTTGAAAATTTCATAAACCTTGAAATATTTATAATAACTAGAGACTAGCCCGAACATCCTAGATGAGATGGAAGCAGCCTCATGTTGTAAGAGGCCTAATGGATACTTCTTAGAGAGATCAAGATGCTCGAAACATGCATGATTATACAAAAGAGGTTATGAACGTTCATAACACAGTTACGCTTGTGAAAGATAATAATCCTGGTTTAGCAGGAAGTGTCCAAAACCATTTGAAAAGGTATGATAACAGTTTTATTAAATTTTAGTATCAATTATGGTTTTAGGAAAGAGGCCTCTGAAGTCACTAGAGTCTCTGCCTCTACCTCTGCCTTCAGTTTATTTCTTACACTTGTTTTGATGCTTCTTTGCAATGTGTGTCTATTATAAATTTGAATTAGATAATTTTGCGATCATATTTTATTAAAGAATTTAAACAAAGCTAAAATTTGAGTTGAAGAAATCACACTTTATGAGGATTATGAATTTATCGACTTAATTTGTTACATTTTTAATTGATAGACTGTGAAGCTTAGGAGGAAGTCTTTTAAAGCTAGATAATGCCAATAAAAAGAAATTTAGATGCTCTATTAATGATTTTTTGGCTTTATAAATATCATAAAATGTTCAAACATAAGCTTCAACCTCCTAAGCTAGCCATCAACATGGGACTCTTGCCCTAAAATTTCAACGACTCACAAAGAGGCTGTAATAAATTGCCCAAAATGTATCCCCTTCATTTCAACTTTAAACAGGCGATAAAACAGATTATTAGAAATATTCAGACAAAGGATGGTTGAGGTAGCACAAGCAATTGGAATAACTTAAAATTCAAATAGGTTATTACAAATTATTTACTTTGTTTAAAGATAAAGGAAATGCATCAAGGAGCAAGAAGAGGCGCCAAAACAAGCCTAAGACATATCCTAGAGTCACTAGTATTTTTAATTTAGATAAGATATTCGGAGTAAATCGAGTTTGGGATAAATTTCTGAAACTTTTCGATTTGGGTATAAGACTTTCAAAGATTCTCCAAATTAATGATATAAATCGAAATTTTCGTTGAGATCATCGTGTTAATAAAGATGCTGTTTCACTTACCCTCAAGTTGTAACGTTCTGTATAGCCTCTTTTGCAGAACCTGCATGAGTATCTCTTTCTGTTTTTCACGTCAGGGTTCTCGTGTTGTCTCACATGTTTCTTCAGATTTCCTTTCTGAGTAAATCTCTTGCCTCACCAGTTGCACTCAAAAGGCTTCACACCTTCATGCATTCTTAGATGATCAAGCAAGTTCCAAGGCTTCTGAAGCACTTTCCTGCAGCCTTCATAGCCACATTGGTACTCGAGAACTTCTTTCTCTTTGACTTCGTCGTACTTTGTGATAGTGTTGTACTTGAAGTCAGCAAGAAGCTTTAGGTAAAGTTCTTCTTTCTTCTCAGGCTTTCCGCAAGAATTCGCTTGCTTTAAAACAGCCTGATGTTGAACTTGGGCCATCTCCATGGGAGGTTGGAACTGGGCTGGTTCAGATGGAATTCAGAAGCAGTACTCTAATCAAAGTTAGAGGGTTTGTAAAAGACTGCAAAGATATTTCAGAACAACCGAATTAAGAATAAACAATATCTTACTGTTAGAAAAGTTTGCAAGCTCCAAGTAGGTGTTGAGTTGGGACAGACTACTGCTCTGAGGTTCTTGGCCTACTGCCATGGCTGAAGTAAGAGTGTTCAAGTCTGGGATGAATTGCTAAAACCAATGTTTAGACTACTTCCAAAGCTTGCTTCATTACCTGTTGGTTCATGTTCCATGGCTGATAGAATTCTTGGCTTCCAATAAAAGAAGATGGCATGTTCATAGTTGGACTTAAAGTATTCATTTTGGAGTTTTTATTAGAAATATTATGAAATCAACCTTTAAATAATATGCGGGGTTTTGGGGTTTTGGGGTTTTGGGG